AACGCCCACACTGCTGAAAGATGTTTGGTGTGACGGGGATTCGAACCCGCGACCCTCAGATTAGGTAACAAATCTATCTTTGTTGTTTAATACACATACAAATACTTTCCAGGTAAGAGTTTAAAAATTGTTTTCTCAAGTAAATAATGTTACTTCTAGGTAACGTACACATTTATAGCTTAACGAAATATACTTCACAAAAACATATTGTTTGTGCAATATAGACCTATTTAAGTAAGAAATTAAAAAATACACATTTTTACGCCGTATTATAATAATTCCTGCAATAAAGGGTAACAATGTTTTAAGGACTGATGAAAGCTTTTAAATTGGCTGTACTAGTTCGACGTATTTTTATACATCAAATAACTTATGTTCACATGACCATATTATCATATTTAACATTTTTGGATAGCAAAGTTTATTATGTAATCATCTAATTTATCCATTATTAAATTCTAAATTGAATATAACACACTTGAAAAGTAACTTCTACGCTTACGTGTTTTATAAATGTATATTTGTTTGTTTGTTTTATTGTTAAGCGCAAAGCCCCACAATGGGATAACTGTGCTGTGCCAAACATGGGTATCTAAACCCGGGTTTAAGCGTTTCAGCCTTTCCGCTGAGGACGTATATATATATAAATGTGTGTGTGGGATTTAAAGTCATTTAATACGGTATTAGAGCTGTTTTATTATTGTATTTTGTTCTACTTTCAACAGCTTCGACCAGCCATATTCCATCTTCCTAAATAAAATGGACAATTCTATGCTTTCTATACTATCCAGCAGTTTCATTATTATATCTAATGGAGAGATAACTTATTGGGCAACTTTTGTGTTATTAGTTTTGTGTTTGTTTGTTTATTGTTTTATTTTATTAAAACAAATCTGAGCATAGAATCAACAAAAAATTTACTATATTGTATAACATCTAATTAAGGAATCGAACGTAAGTCACGTATACAAATGAAATACCGCCAACATCAATTTCTTAACATCATACCTTTAACGAGCAGAATAATAGTCCACATAATCCACATGCTTTGTTGACTAATATACGAAACCAGCGAAAGAGGAACTCCACAATAGGTCAGATTCCGTCTCAAATAACCCTACGGAGGTACATCGTTCATGTGCCACATCTACCCCTGACTGGGTTATTGTTGCCTGGCTGTTCACTCACTGAAAGAAACGTTGAGATACCGCTCACTATTGATGGGTTGTAAAAGAACGCCACCATCGGTCAAATGAGACAATAATTGAAGAATCATCGTGTGACTTATACAGGAAACTTAGCTAATGTTGCCTGACCATGTTTACTAAAGAATATCAATATTTCAAGTAATATGCTAGTCTATTTATTAAAGTTATAATACAATTTACGTTTCTCGTCAGTCAGATTTCTTCAAAACTGGTGTTTGCTCTTAGGTTAGATTTTTGTTGGTGTTTTTGTATTTGTGATGTTATCGTTTTATGCATGTATGTATTCGAGTTAATTATTATAAAGTGTCCAAAAAAGTCACTTACAGTGATTTTGTGGTGTTATCGTCTTCCCAATATAATGATTAGGATATCCAGGAAGAAATGTAAAGTGTGACTGCTAAAATGCTACTTCTGTTATTTGGTCGAGAGAATTTCAGTCAAGAAAAACTGTTCAGGATATTTAACATCTAGTCATTTCTATTTATAATCAAGGCTTTTGAGACTCTAAGCAAATATTGAATATTTCCAGGCTGTTATTATTATGATAAACATTAACAAATACTAAACAATTATCATGTACACCTGTCGTCAGAGTGTGACAATTGGTATGATTATTTGTTCCTTCATTTAGAAGCTTCTTTGTTCATTTCGTAGAGCAAAATTGCACACACAAGAAAACGAGTGAAATCATTAGGTGATAAATACAGTTCCAATTTTTTCAGTTGGTTAAACATTGGGAATACTCCTTCTAAGTCATAAGTGAACCCCTGTAGCTTTGTTATACATACAATTTGAAGTTGTTTCTTTTGTTTTGAAGAATGAGTTTAAAAGGCATGAGAAATATGTTCCAATACAATTATACACCTAGAATAAATCATACGTATGATAATAATATAATAATATTCTGAGATATTATTATCAATGCGAAATACCAAGGTTGAAAACAGGGGGAAGAGTTATAATACAAACACCATGTTTCTATATCTGAAACAGGGGGAAAAGAGTTATAATTCAAACACCATGTTTTTTGTTGTTTTTACCTGAAACAGGGGAAAAGAGTTATAATACAAACACCATGTCTTTTGTTGTTGTTATTTAACCTTAAACAAGTTGAAAGAGTTATTATACAAACACCATGTTTTTTGTTGTAGTTTTTTACCTGAAACAGGGGGAAGAGTTATTATACAAACACCATATTTTTTGTTGTAGTTTTTTACCTGAAACAGGGGGAAAGAGTTATTATACAAACACCATGTTTTTTGTTGTAGTTTTTTACCTGAAACAGGGGGAAGAGTTATTATACAAACACCATGTTTTTGTTGTAGTTTTTTACCTGAAACAGGGGGAAGAGTTATTATACAAACACCATGTCTTTTGTTGTTGTTTTTTAACCTTAAACAAGTTGAAAGAGTTATTATACAAACACCATGTCTTTTGTTATTTTTTACCTGAAACAGGTTGAAAGAGTTATTATACAAACACCATGTCTTTTGTTGTTGTTTCTTTACCTGAAACAGGTTGAAAGAGTTATTATACAAACACCATGTCTTTTGTTGTTGTTTTTTTACCTGAAACAGGTTGAAAGAGTTATTATACAAACACTATGTTTCTTTACGTAAAACGCAGGGCATTAAAAGTAGAATCCTCCCATTGGTAGGAAAAACAAAGTAAGATGAAGTTACTAAATAGTACATATAGTTAGAGGATTCCACATTCATAACATAAGCCTTGCAAAAGTAAACAAAGTGTTCGTGAAAGAAAAGTTGTTAGATTAATGAAAACAGATATAAATATTAATAAGAAGTGCAAAAGATGTAAACATTTGTCTCCTAAGTGACTCCCCCACTCCAAGACAAGTTTTGAACACAGCTGTACATAGCAGAACATGATTAAAACCAATGTTGCGTTTTAGCAGTAGGTATGAAAAATTGGTTAAGGTAAGAACAACCAAAACAAAATGTAGTGTTCAACTGAACAGTTAAAAACACATATTGAAATGTTTTGTCGAGAAAGATTTTCAGCAAGAAATTTCAAGAAAAGAATAACTTTTTTGGAACCTTAACGCTGTTTAGTAGCAAATAATCGACTACTCTTTAAAAATTGTAAGTAAAATATTATTGCCTTATAAACTGAACGTTTTCTTTCTAAACGTTTCACAAAGTTTATAAGAAAATTTATCATCTGACTTGGTAGATCTGGCGTTTACAACAGATGTATTAGAAAAATAACTGCCTCTCTTCTAGCACGCTACACTAGACAGATTAAGACGTCTATTCGATCAGCTGATAAAAAGAACGGTCGAGAGTCTTAGCGATAAAGTTATCCTCTTTCAAATATTTTGCCTTACAATATTTTTCACTCTTAAAGACTCGATCTAACATCGAACTGAAATCTTCCTCGACTTATTTTATCTCTTAATTTGGGGTTCGGTTAAAGACGTTTAATTTTCTTACTTGTCAACATCTTTTCTTTAATGTGCTGCATTGTTATTCCATATTTACTTTGTTAAGTATTCCGTAATGCACACATGTGCATAAAGATACATAAATTTCTCCTGTACTACGTATCATGATCCATATGGGCTTTCAGATAATGTGTTCCAGGAAATACAGTACTATATGTGCTTATAGTCCATAACGTATTTCAGTATTATGCCTTAGTCCACAGAATATTTAAATTACGTAACAGATAATCAGTGAAAACCTGTTTCAATCGCGTGGAGTCCGTGTTATTTTTTCCTGAAGCAAGCTAGGATGCGTCAGGTTGTGTCTTGCGTCGTTCAACAGCAGGAAGCACTTGTTGAATAAATGTATAATATTTTTACTTATAAGATTCGTGAAAGAGATATTTTTACACAAACTAACAATTACTTTCAGCGGATAATCAAACTCACGTCATCACTATGAAAAATAATTTTTGTTTGTTCATTATTAAGCACAAAGCTACACAGTGGGTTATGTGTGTGATGTACCTACTAAGGGTATCGAAGTCTGGGTTTTAGCGTTATAAGCCTTCAGACTTACCGCTGCGCTACTGGGGTAGAGGAGCAAAAACTAAAAAAAAGAATAAGCAAACAAAGATTTTCTCTCTATATTATAAACATCAATAAAATTCTTTCAGAAGACATTTTACTTTATAGCTGCATTAAAGTAAAAATGTATTTCATTTAACAATAGGGGAGTCACTAGTATGTTTTTACTTCTTTGTTTATAGTTAAACACACAGCTACACAAAGGGCTATCTGTACTCTGCCCACCACGGGTATCGAAACCCAGTTTCTACCAGTATAAGTCCGCAGATATACCATTGTGCCACTGGGGGGGGGGCGATTTTACTTCTATTCATGCATTTCATAAATTTAAAAACATTTCAAGTAAACCTATGTCTGTGAATAAAACATACAAGTACAGAATGAACTAGTAAAATATAAACCATTTATCAAACCTTCCATATACTGATTAAGAAGATAAAAAAGTTCCACTATATTTTTTTCAATCAACTTCTGAAAAAATGTTTTTTTGTTGTTGTTGTTTTTCAATCAGCTTTCGAGAATTCAAATTGCGTAAAAATTTAAGCTTTTATATTCTGCTTAGAGATATTTTTCTTCATGTGCTTCATCGGTTAAACGTGTCACATCTGAAATTTTCCAGTGACGTTTCTAATCACTTTAAAACACATAAAAAGAATAGTTTTCTTATTGAGAAGTAAAAAAATGAAGATAGAATGACGTGAACAAGCAAACAAAAGTAATGTATGGGAACAAATAGAAATGAAATATCTGAAAGCGATATTTTTTTCACGGCTCTTTAAAAATGCAGTATTAGAGCACTGGGACATTGAATTGGACATTCTACTTTGATGTCGTGATTTCATAGCAATATTTTTATGCTTTTAAAAGGATGGTATACTTTCTACGTTAACCAGTTTTATGTTGAGTTAACCAATATTGCAGATAAGCACGCAACAAGCAAGGAACTCTATTACGACACATAATTAACAAAATGTATAACTTTACCTTATTTTACAAGATTGGCTCACGTTAAAAGATATTATATTTTCTTACTTCTTTCGGCCCATTCTTCCTTGTTAGGCCTGTTTTACAGAACACCATCCTTTATCAATGACTCTACGTTAAGCTAAAGCAAACACGTGATCCAAGATTCACTTAAAATGGATTAAAATATTCAAGAAAACATTATCCAGATAATTTCACAAGCGTATACGAGACTTTACACAAACAATCAAATAACCGGCAGGAAACGGACTTGTTTATCACTACGCAAAGATGATACTAACTTGTCATTTTACACTAGTTTCGTCCTTTATCCAAAGTGAAGACAGTTCTTACTAACTTGTCAGTTTACACTAGTTTCGTCCTTTATCCAAAGTGAAGATAGTTCTGACTAACTTGTCAGTTTACACTAGTTTCGTCCTTTATCCAAAGTGAAGACAGTTCTTACTAACTTGTCAGTTGACACTAGTCTCGTCCTTTATCCAAAGTGAAGACAGTTCTTACTAACTTGTCATTTTACACTAGTTTCTTCCTTTATCCAAAGTGAAGACAGTTGTGACTAACTTGTCAGTTGACACTAGTTTCATCCTTTGTCCAAAGTGAAGACAGTTCTTACTAACTTGTCAGTTGACACTAGTTTCGTCCTTAATCCAAAGTGAAGATGGTTCTGATCACTTGTTATCCTTAGTTAACTTACACATCTTTGTTAACATATCAATTAATTATACAAAACGTTACACAACCACCTAGAATTAGGGTGCTTAATTCGCAACCTGCGGGTCGCGGTTCGAATCCTCGTCACTGAACATGCTCGCCCTGAGGGCTGAATACAAATTATCCGAGCGGCCGAATGAAGACGAAGAAGACGAGGTGTTCCATAATCATAGCTTTATAAACGTTTTATACATTATATAAGCCTTTTAAAATTCGATCATATTCGAAACGGTCAT